CCCCCCCACCTTCCGCCGATAGGCGAACGCCGGCGGTAATGGAATTTGACATTAGGATCGACGCCGGAGATGCGCCGCCGGCTCTTATGCGGCGGGAACGAATACAGACAGCCGCGAAAGACCTGTATCGCGCGTATTGGCGGTCGTGAAAAATTCCACGCGAATATGCTCGACACCGACTGCGATAGATAACACGTAGAGGATAGCCCTCTATTACGAGATAGGTTTCTAATATGAGATAGCAGCCTTTCAACAGCCAAATTCAATCGCAAATCTTTTTCCGCAGCGATCGCACAGTCCAACGATGAATTTTCCATCGAACAGACTTCGCTCCAAGGGCAATAAATTCATGGTGGAATCAACTAATGTTGCCTATTACTTTAAGGGGTCATTCCACTTTAACGGCCCAAAAACTATGCTCATCTTTGACAGTTTTGTTCACAGTAAATACACCATACAATGAAATAAATCTTTTGGGGATTTATTAGGGCACTCTTAAATAACACGAGACAATTTTTGTCATAATTTAAACCAGTTTTTAATCAAGCGTTTTCTACACCGTTCGAATGGCGTGCGAAAAAAGATACAAGTCCGCTGCGTTGATGATTTTTATCATTCAGGCTTACCTGAAACAAAAATCAAAAAGATTCTGAATCTACAATATATGACTGTCGCTATGCTCCGAACCTCAATTAAGAGTTTTTATTTAAAAATAACAAAATGGTACCAGTTTGAATACCGGCACCATTTTGTTATTTTCAAATAAAAATTCTTAATTGAGGTTCGGGACACAGTGACATTTATATAGATTAAAAATCTTCTCGATTTTTGTGTCAGGTAATTCTGAATGATAAAAGTGATCAATGCAGCGGACTTGCATCTTTTTTGACACGCCATTTGGACGGTGTAGAAAACGCTTAATTAAAAAATTGTTTAAATTATGACAACATTTTTGTTGTGTTATTTAAGAGTGCCCTAATAAATCACAAAAAGATTTATTTCATTGTATGGTGTATTTACTGTGAAAAAAATTGTTAAAGATAAGCATAGTTTTTGGGCCGTATGGAATCTGTCCCATGATAGGGGACTTGCATCTTTTTTGACACGCCATTTGGACGGTGTAGAAAACGCTTAATTAAAAAACTTGTTTAAATTATGACAACATTTTTGTTGTGTTATTTAAGAGTGCTCTAATAAATCCCCAAAAGATTTATTTCATTGTGTGGTGTATTTACAATTATTTCATTGTGTGGTGAAAAAAATTGTTAAAGATAAGCATAGTTTTTGGGCCGTTAAAGTGACCCCTTAACAGAAACCCCGCTATTCCATATTAGGATCCTGTCCCATGATAGGGGACTTTCTCTACACACGCGTGAGTTTGCGCGAAAAAAAAAAATGGAACAAGACACTGAGGAGAGACGATCTATTTATACGATATTAATCATGTCGGTAGCGATGTTGCGCTCCGCTTTTACACGGAGTTTTGATGGCAGCGTTCATAAATCATAATTGAAAAAAAATCTCAGAATATGATATCGGCGAATGCTAATTAAGCCCTCCGAGCTACGGCGAAGGGCGTTGCTTCTTTTGCATTAATTATGGAGAGCTGCATTAGCGTTCGTCGTAAATATAACGTTATTTTAGTATATACCGTACATAAAACACCAAGGTTTGAAAAAAATATTAGCGAGTACTTATATACGTACGTGACGCGTGCATTGTAAGAAACGTACTTAAAATTACATACATAATTTTTCAGTAGCGATTACACTATTAATAACGGAAATATATAAATTTATGTTATATTTTACAGAATTTTTTTACTCTTTGTTACGTAAACACTTGTTTATGCTTGACGAAAAATTACAAAAAATTGTAAAATTCACACAATTAAAAGCAAGCAGTTTACTCATTATATAAGGTAATAATTTTACCTACGAGGTGAATCACGTATAATATACACCTTTAATAGCTGGTCGTAATATTACCCAGTATAATAATTGTAATTTTACATGTAATTTTTTACAGTGTGGCTCGCTCGAATATTTTTGAGTAACAAATCGCGGGTAAAAATGAATCTGTAAATTAATACGTTGTGGTCGCGAATGAGCGCGTTCTTTCAACCCCTTTTACATATCGCTCTCACGCAACCCTTTTTGGAACCTATACGTTGTAATGGCGATGATAGTTGCACATTTTTTCACGTGCATATTCGACGCTAATCTGTGAGGTATAGCGTATCGCCAAGAAATATCTGCCCCGACACCTCGGATGCTCGGAGCCGCGACTATTATCGGCGCAATACGCGGTTGTTAATGAATTAAACTCGTAATTTGCGTCACGATCAATTACGAATTACCGCGTCGAATCCGTAATTCGCCCGTTAATTGCATTGTAAATTATAGATTCTTCGTTATAAGCGCGCGTGCGAGCGCGAATATATGCGTAATTAATCAATTAAGTACCGCCGCACGCGGGCGCGCGCACGCGGAAGATTAGGTGCTCTTGGCAATTCCATTTAGGGCCGGAGTCATTTATAACGGCCCGTTACGTACGCTGTACGTACGCGCGAGCCTCTCTGTGACCCTGACATTTTTAGTGCAAATTGCGATTTGAATATTTCCAGCGTGCGGCCGCTGCCGGCTTTGTAAATTGAACCGTTGTTTGCAACGTGGTTGTCGAAAAGGCTACATCTCCATGGAATACCAACAATATCACTATTGAGTGGAGCAATGTTTCAATTGATTCTAGGCAATGAACTAAATAAATTGATTTTTCTCCCCTTTGTTTACCGTAAGCTTTTATCCCCTGAAAAATCTCATTTGGCGAGATGATTTTTCTAATTTTTAAACTGCTCGTCGCTGATTAGTCCAGGCTTCCCCCCCTTAGGATTTTTAAATTGTTCAACCGATTCTATTATCGTTGCATGATTGTAGTTGCTGTTTCGCTATATTTTCAGATCACCCGAATGTCAAGTGTTACCTGGGTCACGGCGGACTTCTCGGTTTGTCGGAGAGTGTCTACGTGGGTCTACCGATGGTCTTGGTGCCGATGTTCGGCGATCAGTTCCACAATGCGGCTGGCGTGCAAACCAGAGGTGCCGCGGTGGTGATTGAGTACAATAACTTAAATGAGCAGTCATTCCGACACGCTCTGGATCAAGTTTTCAACGATAGCAGGTACGCCTCTTCTCCTAATCCTAAGATACCTCTTTTCTACCTGTTTTTTTTTTAATACGTTTCTTTATATATAGTTTAGTCACTTCAACTTTACAGTTAAAAAGTGGGACTTGGTTTACAATTGCACTTATGTCCATCTTACCCTACTTTTCTTTATCTCGTTCGCCATTCCATATTTTATTTAGTATTTCTTTATTATTCTTCCCTAATCCTCCAAACCATTTCTCTGTTATTTCACATTCGTCTACAAAGTGACTTATACAATCTTGGCCTTTTCCTAATACGTTTCTTTATAAAGAACTCTCTTTCGCAAGATTATTCGTGTCAAAATCCATTTCACGAGACGTTTTTCACCAGCGAAACAAAATGGGGAGCAAATCGCACGGATTAATAAATTGCATTCGTAGCGATCATTTTACCAGAAACAAATCCGAAATCGACCTCATTTCGTAGCTGCCTGGAGTTTCGCCGGCTGCATTTCCGGTGCAGAATTATCTATTACTTACACAGTAAGCTACCGTGCCGCCGATACATATCGGTCGCGTTAAAATTTCTCGCTCGTGAGATGTCACGGCGAGGACGGCGGCGTCGCGACGAAAAAAGGAGAATCGCATAATCTATCCGGATATTCGCTCCGTTGAATATCTCACGAGTCGTCCGGACGCACCGGATATCCGGCAAGTGCATCGTCGTTGCAGCGAGGCGCCTCGTTAATCCGTAAGCGCGGCTCACTGGCGTTCCCAGCTCCCTTCCAGTCCCCCCTTTCCCATCCCTTCCGTCAGCTCTCAACCTCCCCTAGTCCCATCTCTTTCTCTTTCTTCGACGCGGCGTATCGTCGTCTCTCTCTCTCGTCCTCCGAGAAGGTAGACAGTGTTGTGTTGGCGAAAGGGGTGGCGGGAACTGTTGAGCGGGGCACGGCGTATTCAGCACTCTTGGCATAGCCCTCCGGGCAGCCAATTTTTTTTTCCTCCCTTTCGACACGCCGTCGCTCTCTTCGTCGCAAATTCGAGGCACGAATCGCGGAAAGAGCGGACGTGTTCCCCGGATGGTTCTCCAGTCCCCTCTTAATTCCCTCGCCTTCGCCGATCGACGGACGCGCGGGATCGAGCAAGCGAACAGCCTGCGAGCACATCTGGACCACGCGGGCGCGCGCCCGCGCGTATACCCGGCGCGGAGAAATCGCATGGGAAATTCCGCGAGCGTTAAATGTTTCACGGGGATATACCGAATCAACGGCACGCCGTCGATGATGACGACGCGGAGGCGTGCCGAAATGAAATTTTACATTATTCAATGCCGTCCTTCCCCTTCCTCTCGCACCTGTCTCACTCTCCCTTCAGGCCAAGTACGGTCAACTTGTTAACCGCACGCGCGTTACCGAGCCAACCGCGGAGCTATAACCACCCTCCACGGTTATGCTCACTCGGGGGTTGCGCCGAACGCGTCGTGGATGAAGGGGAACGAAGGGCCCGACGTTCCCCCCTCGGATAACGCCAAGAAATTGCACCTATATTTGGTGTAACCGGCTCCCTTAGAGTTCTTACGAGGGCGCGATGACAGGTTTTTTATTTTTCACGTAAGGTTACCCGGAAGACGTGATTTCGAATGACGCTCAGAAAATTCTGCGAGGGTGAAGCCTACCCGTAAATTAAACGCACACGTATGCTTTATATATGTACACAGTTGGAAAATTTGTGTTTTCTTGTTAAAAAATGCCGGTTAAAATTTTTGTGTTAAATGTTTCGCACATTCGTGTGTTAATTTAACATATTGCTCTTGTGTTAATTGACCTCAAATGTAAAATTATTAAAATACCTGAAAAGAAATGTTAAAACTACACAATGTGTACTTATTTTTTAATCTTACACAAAACATATGCTCTATATTATTAGTAACAAGATTTAGCTGTTAAAATTTACAGAATAAAATGTTGATTTTATTCTATATAACATAAGTGAGAGTGATTTCAAATCGTCATTTGACTTATTACATCTGCAAAATGTAAACATTACATTTTTAAAGATTCATTCAGTTTGTCATTAAAAATGTGTTAATTTAACACAAAATTTATATCAAATTATTTTGAGATTTGCATTTATTTTGTGTTAAAATATTAACAGAGTATTAGTGTAATTAATGATTATTTAACGTATCCATATTATGTTAAATTAACACAAAAATTTGCGTGGACCGTTTGGGACATGTGATATCTGTTGGATTTAACACAAATTTTTCAACTGTGTATGTACGTATTGTTTTTATTCTTTTGAATATTGTAATTATTACACAGCTCTAAAAATTAATTTGGTTCCCCCGCGATTACTTACAGTCCCAAACTGTTTACTCCTTGACATCTTAATTTAAAAAAAAGATGGGCATTTTTATTTAATTGCCAGTTTCGTTTAATGGGTATTTTCATGCATGAGATTTCACGCTGCTTTATTTCATTTTCATATCTCACCCAACATTTCTAAATTTAAACGCGTAATATCCCGCACGGGCGACACATTCTGCTAAATATGCCACAACGTACAAAATCGGATGCGGCAAGGAAATTTATGCAATTTTAAAACCCCGGTGCCTATAGCCAGTATTTCCCGCCGCAAAACTTTCATCCGCCGCGCGTCTATGTGCGTGACTTTAACAACGCCGGTTGGTATCATCGTAATCGCCGCTAACATCGGCTTCTTTCGAGGGCTCGACTTATGGGTAGCGCGCGCACGTGTGTGTGTGTGTGTGTCTGCGCCTTCTGTTTTTCCCTCTTTAAAGTGAGATTTGCATTCACACAGAGCGTGCCCCGAAGAATGACAGCGTTATAATTATGGTGCATGCAAAGTGTTTAAAGCGATGTTAACTCGAGCGGTAACAACGAGAGGGCTTCAAGAACCCGCGCTCTGTAAGTTGGTACTTTTCTCCTTGTGTTGTACCGCAGGGAAAATACGAGAGAGCTATCGTCGAACACATTTGTATCCCTCCAAAAGTCAATCAGCGAATTATCTGAGTAGTCACTGATTTACAGTTACAAGTTAGAGGAAGGTCCTCTATTATGAGATAGGATTTTAATATGAGATAGCAGGTTTTCAACGTCCCAATTCAACCAGAAATCTTCTTTCGCAACGACTGCGCGATCTAACGATCAATTTTCCATCCTAAACGGATTTCACTCCAAGGGCAATAATTCAGCAGAAACTCCGCTGTGTCATATTAGGAGCCTCATAATAGGACTTTCCTCTATACCACTGCGATTTTCGATGGTATATTTATAACTGCAAATCGGCTAACTATTCACTGTCCTCGGTGATGATCCACTTGTAGAGAGTACGGAAATGAAATTACTTAACTATTAAACTCCCTTGACGTCTTCAATTTAATAGTAATTGTGTTCGTCGGCCTCACACAGGAATCCATCGCTAAATGTCAGGGTGCGTCAATGAGGCAGAGATAACTTAAAGGGACCTCTAAACTGAACTCCACCGAGAACTTTGCTCTGACAAAAACCCAAGTCTGGTATGTACTTCGATTGACGAGGGCGAGGGTCGAAAGTTACTCCGCGGTCTTGCGCCGCGAGCGCGCGCACCCTTTTGTCTCGCTCGAGATCCCGCCGTGTGATTAAGTATGAGGAGATCCAGCATCGCGGGTGATACATATGCATGTCCGTCTATCTATTAATCGCGCGGGACACAGATGTCGACTGTGCGGAGCGAGGTAATTGCAGAAAATTACGGAACTAATAACCGTGACTTGCCCGCACGATTACCATTTCCGGTATCTCGGTTCGCCAGTGGCAATCGTTTTTCGCGATACTCTTGCGGATTGCCGTTAAAATCGTCGTGAAATATGGCGTGCTTAATTTGGTGAAACGAAGCGGCGCCGATGCGCATCATCGTGCAAAAATTTGCGGGATTTCGCTAATTACCACGGGACCGGCCCAGCAGCCGATTTGTTTATAAGGAGATTACTTCCTTCCGTCGTCTCGTAATCCGTTTATTCGGACATTAATCACTTCTCCTCTTCGTTAATGATCGTCAACTAATTTTATTATTACCGGGCAAATGTATCGCACACTTTTTCACCGTAACCTGTGGACTATGCGGAGCCACGACGGCGAAATTGATCGAAACCACTGTTTCGTACAATTTGAAACGTGCGGGCGTTTAGCAACAATTACCGTCGCGGTAATAAAGCGTGGCCTAATGCGCCGCACGTTGACAGAAATAGATTTCGCAGTCGGGGATCATTTTTCACGCGACACCGTGTCCGTATGCACGCGCGCGAGCAATCCAGCCGGGCGCGATAAAGCCGGCTTAATAAATCAGAGCGGATATGAAACTGTTGCGCTCGACTGCTCGTTTTCGCGTCGTACGACACTCCTTAACGTCAGTGTAATCACGATGTCGTCGGATTTACGAGCCGGCGCCTTGGACCTCCGGGCTAAGGATCCGCTAAAGTTGAGGCGATATACGTGCGATTCCAGTTTCATTATAATACCATTCGCAGACATGAATTTATCCACGGGCGCACGGTGCGTTCGGGGTCTCCGGAAGATGATCCTCTAAGTTATAATCCCTGCCCCCCGTCTCTTGTATTTCTCCCGTACGGATTTCTCGAGATAAGAAAGGAGATTTTAATAAAATATATCCAGCGGAGGTGACGCGAAATAAATACCGGGGAAATGTAAAAGAAATGCTAATTAGAATGCTAAATTCGTTAACTTAATTACATAAAAAAATTATGTTTAATTGCAGAATGGTACTTGGTCGACTGTGCGCTGAATCCATGCAGCAGTTTTTAATTCAGCAAACGTCTAAACCGGGACTTAATTACATAATTGTAGCTGAAAATTTCTAAATTCCCCCGCGCACACATCGCCCCCTTTTCTCAGTCCGTTACGGGAATAATTTCATTTCGTTTTTATTGGAAAACAAAAAATTATGCTATTTGCATTCAGCTCAGAAGAGAGTAATACCGATTGCCTTTCTAATCGTATGGCGATTCTACCC